TACACGGTGACAATCCCAAGCAATCTTGGCCCTCTAGAACTGAATGCCTAGGGATTCGCTTCTAAATCTGAAGAGATTTCAGCTCTCCCTGCCCCAGTTCTGTTTCTCAGCAGCCTCCTTATGAGATAGGAAAACAGGAACCTCCTTCTGTGGAAGAGTGACTAAGCAAGCAATAGGCTGAAAACTGAGGACAAGCCATCAAACAGTAGAGTTCAACAAGAATACTTGAGAAAATGAATGCTATTCTAGAACACTGACTGAAGTGGGAGCACAGGAGACACATAAGGCAGCCAAAAAGCAGTGACAAGGGTAGCTTTGTCTTGGAATCCATTTAAAACTACTGAAAGGGAAGCCATCTGTCCTACCAGGAACAGGACAGTGTTACTTCTAATACCAATCTGGATGAGTGGTTTAGACAGCTTCCAGCTGGAGTATCTACCTACTCAAATGTTGAAGTCAAGACCCAGAGTGGCAATGGCTCTTTGAAAGCCACACTTCCTCATTGTGCTTTATTAAAAGACAAACCCAAAGATCTGGTGAACCAAAGTCTAAGGTTCACTTGCTCTGAAAGCCCACACAAGTGAAATGGGTAGCATAACACACTGCTGGGGATGAGGCCTTCAGTTTCCAGACTCTCGTGTCACTAATTTTAAAGCTTTCAATTGGTAATCCTTGTAACGCAACCCTAGACAGCAGATTGTAAACCGTACGTTATCATATTCACTGTCATTACTGATATCAGGATCATTCTTGATCTTCAGAGAATGTTCTCTTTTCTCTTTTGTACCTAATTTACCTCATTGATCAGTCTCTCCTACCTCAGGATGTGAGACTCTCACACAGCTAGCTTCTCTGTGACCTGTGTGCCAGCCCAAGTAACCTCCACCAGAGCAGCACCCATGTCCCCACCGGGCCCTTCTCACTGCAAGGAGGAAGAGCAGCCCCTTCCATTCCACTGCCCATAAAGCAGGGATGATCTTTTCCTCTCCCACGTGAGGATACTGATTCCATAACCAAGGAAAAGAAGCACATGGAAGGCAAATGCCTTGCTTTCTCTGTCCCAGGCTCCTGCTTGCTGACAGCAAAGCAGGATACCACAAGAGCCGTGTTACTTGGCTCTCTCCAAGCCAGGAATCCTGCACTAACCGCAGTATCATCATCCAGTTTCAGAGAAACAGGTCTGAAGGACTGGGAGAGGCTGTGTGTCCATCACTGTGACAGCACTACCACTTTAGATGCCACACACATATAGACTCTCAGAAATATGGTGAAGGACAGGATAAATATCCCCAGGGTCCTACTGCAGACACCTGCAATCGAATCCTCTTAAAGCAGAAGATGGAAGTTATGCTGCTCATCTAAATTATTAGCTGCTCCTAGGTCAAGCCAGCCTGCACACCAAGTTGTGAAAACACCCTCTAAAGTCTGGGGGCGGAGGGGAGGGAGGGTTGTTGGCTGCACTGGGCTGCTCACCAAGTAAACAAGTGTGTTTGAACTTAAGGTTTTCAGTTCAGACAAAGCTAAGAAATGTCAGAAGCTGAGATTGAAGAAAGGTCCCACCAGAATGAGAATAAAGAACAATACTCAGGATGCTCAAATTAGTACAGCTCTAGTTCAACAACAAAAAATTCACAGGCTACTTTCAAAAGAGTAAGTATCTGAAGTCTTGCAGTATCACCAGGAAGTGACAGAGCCTGAAATGGAAATACAAAGCCACTGCTGAAGAACACTGCCCTTCAAAGGCTTCATGTGAAGGACTACAGAGCTCCTCTGTACCTTCAACTCATGAGGGCCTGCACAGTTACAAACAACTCAATATTGTTAAAGAAAATTTTCCTTAGTTTTACCTAAGCTAAACTGCATCTGAACTCTGCTACCATCATCTGAACCGTGCTACTCTACTCACTTAATGGAGAAGCACAGCCCAGGCACTAATACACCCCTATCTCTGGGCACCACTTAGCACTTTGTTCTAGGACAATGTAAGATCCCAGAGAAAAGAAGATAAGCATATGCTGCAACACAAGACATATCTATTTTCCTGAGCTGTGAAAATACACACTTGCTGAGAAAACAGCAATCCATCACACACCCAGATTATATTAGGAGATGAACCAAAGCAGGAGGACACCAGCAGTAGACTCAAGCATCTGTTTGAACTTCAAACTGCTGTGAGTGCAACATGTCCTAAGTATCTGAGATAAAGACACAATGCTGTCACAGTGGAAAGCACAGACAAAATCAATATGTCAAGACTCTTGAAAGCAGTCTCCAGTCTTCTACAACTAAATGGAAATATATGGAAAAAAAGCCCTTTCAGTATCTGTTAACCCCACACTGAGCTGGAAGAGCCTGAACATGGAAACAACCTACATTTTAGCACACTGCAAGGAGACAGCTTGCTGCTCCAACCAGCAAATCACTCCTAGTGGCAGCGTACCAAGAACCTAATCAGCTCTATCAACCCTCAAAGAAGTTTAAGGAAGCCATTCCTTTAGGTTTATTTAACAGAATACATTTAGTCCATCTGTTCTATCATGTGATGTTATGGAATATTCAAGTTTTAAACATCAGACTTCTGACACAGCTACTTAACTAATCAAGTACATTTTTAAAAGTAACTGGAGTCTTCAGAGTTTTCTTAGGCCTGAAATACTTAAAATCTTCACAGAAAAAAAAATAAATCTGCAATTTACAGGCATGCCCACAGGTGCTACCTCCGAGGATAAACAGAGACAGAGGAGTTAGCCAAGAAAAACATAAGAGTTAAGGAATTTTTCCTATGCTTTTGTCATGAGTCATGGAGATCTATGATTAATTACAGCCTGCACTGAAAGTATCTTTAAAAAAAAATAAAAAAATAAATGCATCACTGATTTCAGTTAGTATTTCATGTCTAACAAGTTTCCACAAAGTATTCATACAGCAAGACAATAAGGCCAGATGGAAACTACCAGGACACAGGTACATTACAAGGACCTACTTAGCCAACTTTTAAAGTTAAGAAGTCCTTTTAATTGTTAACCCTGAACGATACCAATTGTAGCAGAATGAAGCAGGTGCCAAAAAAAACCCCGAACAACAATCAAAAAATCTGTCCTGAACTTCCTCAAACATTCAGCCTATTTCCTACTTCAGCTGACTCACGTTGGGACTTAACTCAAAACACTTCCAGCATCAGAGAAAACAGAACTCAAAACAAATGACAACGGTTCTACACCAGAGGGTTTTTTATAGTTCTCCAAGCACGAGTGTCCCTAAAAATGTGACCCTGGGTTCAACCAAAACTCTTAAGAGATCCTTAAAACGGTGTGTTAAATGAGGCTTAGGACAGTCAGGTTTGGTGATTAGAAGCAAGACCCTACAAGCTAATTTCTACATTTCTGTGAATCAATACAGCCACCTAAATAAACAACGTTTTCTTAGAATAGGACGACACTAAATGTAACATGTTTTCAGAGGTCCCGGGGGCAGCACAGGGACAGGTGAACATACACCCACGCCCCTTCCTCACCCCCAGGCCCACACCTGTTGCAAAGTCCGCGGCAGCGGCCCCGTCAAACTGCACGTTACCCCAAAGAAGCCCCGCACGCAGCCGCACTTACCGTCCTCGAAAGGGGTCCCCTCGGGCCTGGAGGAGGGAGGAAGCAGAACACAGCGTTACCCGCGGGCAGCCCATCCCCGGCCCCGCGGAGGCTCCGCTGCCCCCGCGCCCGCCGCCCC